TTTTAAATAACTAGCTAAGATTAAATTCTCTTTTGGGTACAAGGGAAAATGCACAGTTATTTAAGAAATTTGTGAAGGTGGCAGGAAAGGTGATTTCACAAATTTCAAAGTGAAGAGCCCAATTCCTATTTATATGGTATAATTGAACCAGTGTAATATGACAATGCATATTGTATGTCTTCTGTTACCATGTTCCACGGAACACTGAAGAATAATTGCAAACAAAAACTGAATATCATGGGAAAAAAGAGAATCAACCCTCTGAGTTCAGGTCAATTTCATTTTGCTCTTTCAGAAATTGTGGATAATCATTGTTATCTGATCAGTCCAACAGTAAGAGTATTAAAAAAAATAATTTTGCATCTTTTAACTACTCACTTATTTAACAAAAATTTTTAAAGCATGATCAGTCTGATGAGCAGAGGATTACATGAATATGTAATAGTCAACAAAGTTATATAAGGCCTTTCACCCATGTGTATTGTATATATTAGATCCTGGAACTTAAATTAAAATATTCATAGTTCACTGGAGGGAAATGAAAAATTGATTAACTTAGATATTTGGGGAAAATGTGTTATCAGAGAAATGAGAAAGATGCAGTCTGGCTTGGGAATGAATTGCTGAGAGGTGAGGGTAAGGAGGAGGTGCCCAAAGCATAACTCCCATGACACACTGTGGTGGCACTTCTAACTGCACTTGTTGCTTTCTCATATAGAACGGTTCTAGTAAAAGGAAAAAAATAAAACAGAAATTGAAATTAGGAGTAAGAGTGAAGATTGTTTTCCTATGGCCTTTTTTATCCAAATTGACTTTTCTTAAACAATTTCCAAACTGTTATATGTATGTCCAAAAAGTTTACATTTTCAGTTGTTTTAACTGTTGGTGTGTAGATGCATACATACTGTGTTTGCTTTATAGTAAAGGAAATACAGAATCTGTCTTTTCATTACAACCTAAGAGAATCTCAAAGTTCTGGAAATTTAATGGCCATGTTTTAATGGAAAAAAAATGAATTCAAAAGACGAAATGATACTTCAGATTATTCTAGTGAAATGATATTTTTAAATTTTCTGTGATTTGAGAATCATGATTCCCTAGGGTGCTGAGATGTTGCTGCTGTTTAAAGCCTCAGAGCATGAAGAAAAAATTCTCTACCATACATGTAGACCTCGTGTAGAGGTTACACAGAATGTCACTTTCACAGTTTAAGGCCCCAGAACTTTCAAACACAAAGGGTGAGCTCATTAGTCATCCAAAAAGTTTCTGCTGTTTTGTAGCTCCTTACAAAATGTTGTAGAAATTTGTTGCATATTAAGAAATATTTTTGATTCAGATAATAATGCTTATGTGTTTGAGATTTTTTCTACAGTAGTAAATTCTTTAGCATTACTCAGTTGATTTCTGAAGGTTCCCTTAAAGTGTACAACCTCATAAACCTAAAAAATTGAGGATGCTTAATGTTTTACTTTAAAATGATGGTGCACTATCTCCCCTTTACCTTTGAATTCTATTCTGACATCCTTTGCAGCACAGGTGGTCTCTGGGACTTTCAGCAGTTGAACACACTATAAATTTTTGAGCATTACTGTCCTGACCAAAAAATTCTAGACCTTTTTTTTTTTTAAGCTCAGAGAAAGAGATGCTGAGAACTCACAATGCCTGGGAAATTCAGCTTCACTGTCTGACTATGTTAATGATTTAAATGTACTTTGAATACCCTCTCCTGCCTGCCCTGCTACTTTGCTTGAGCTTGTCCCTTGACCCAAAATGACAGAAATTGAGTCATTAGTTTTCTGCCCAGCATATTAACCTAAACTGCTGATAGTCAAACTGTTGTAGGAGTAAAGGAGCTTAATCACCACAACTAAATTCAAATTTGAAATTGCGAGTGAGCTTGCTGTTCAAAATTTTGTCTTGCTGATCACCCCCCAGAATTCAGATTCCTCTTGAAGTTTTCATACTTCTAGAACTACTTCTAGGTTTGGCTAAAAAACATAAAAAGTTCTTAGACTTTATATATATATATATATATATATATATATATATATATATATATATATTTAGACTTTATATATATATATATATATATTTAGACTTTATATATATATATATATTTAATGACAGGATTGAACATCTTGAACTGCTTTCTATTCATTGCCACTGTGTTTATTTCCATTTCAAAGGCATAAGACTGCTACATGGAACACTGAGAATTCCTTATAATAATCTCGACTTCCGTCTACTCCAGGATCATTAGCAGAATGATTCTTTCTTTCTGTTTGGTGATTAAAGCTTTTGTGTTTGGTGTTATCCATATGTTTTGGTAGTTTTATGACAAAATAAATAGAGGTTCATCTATCTGTTCTTCCATGAATCTGCCATTTGTGTGATCGTTTCATTATCTTCAGATGCCTCGCAGCTGTAAATTGATCTGATTTATAGGCCTGGACAGGCCATCTAAATCACACATTGAGGGTAAGTAAAGATAAACTGAATTTCCCAAACCAACTGACACTAATGAATAGTTATAAATATTCTCTTTAGTTAGGAATGTTTAAAGAGAGAGAGAGAGAGACAGAGAAACAGATCTGCCAAGAGGTTGGGTTTTTTCCTTGTAAAAGCTTCTCTAAATCACATTTCGCATTAGGAGAAATGTGATATGAAGATGACTTGAGGAAATCAAAGTGATTTAGGGAATTAAATGTTGAAAGGGTTAAAATTTATATCATGCAGTTCTTTGTGAAGTAGTACAAGGTACAGATGTAGGAAAGAGATAGAAAATGTAAATAACGGAGCCTCTGAGAAACAGAAGATAGTTGAGCTCTATCAAGAAAAAATTGTAATTGTGCCTGATCCGGGGGACTTGAAGATAATATGTGAAGAATAGCATGGTCAGAAAGCAAAGATTTTCAGCACTGAAGTTTCTGCCTTGACAGTTTCCAAGAAAAAAAAAGTGAAAACAGAGCAATGAAAAAAAGATTATGGTTCATAACATACCATACATTTATCCTCTGAAATCACTAGTAATTATTAACCCAGGAAAAAAAAAAAGAAAAAGAAGCAACAATTAGGTGATCAGAGATTTTAATGGCAGGATAAATGGAAATTACTCTCTTCCTGGCAAAAAAAGTAAAATTCATTCCTTTAAATTCCAGTTACATAAGAATATGGGTAATTAGACTATTGAAGAAATCTGTGACAGGCAGTAGGCACTAGAAAATATCTATGAAATATGATTCTCATTCATAGAGCTTTCTGGACTCTTGAACACCCACAGAGAAAAATCAGCTGCAGATTGGTCTTTCTACATCATAGAAATAATAGAAAATAGGACTAGAGGGAAGTGTGAGTGGCTAGCTAACCTAACCTCAGTGTTAAGACAGATGAGTGATAGCTGAAACTTTCTGGTAGACTAGCACAGGTCATACAACGTACTAAATGTGTTTTGGGGATTTTGTTTGTTTGTTTTTAATTTCTCTCCCAGTAGTACAGAAAGATGTACTATATGCAAAAAATGTATTCTTAAAACAGCTAGTACCACGGCAATGCACTGAACTTCATTTCTGTGTGTATTTATTTGACCATAAATCAAAACAACATTTAAATTTAAATTCTTTTGTGCTGCAAAAGTTGCTTAAATGAAGAAAGAATTCAATTAATTAAACTTTTCTTGCCAGGTGTTCTTCATGGCAGGATTTTGAAAATTCTGTGTGTTTTCTTTTTCTGCGACACCTATTCAGTCACAGAGGGTGCAGGAAGAAAGCAACACCCGTCTTTGCATTTTAAAGGAACCTTTCTGCGGTAAAGAGCACGTCCACGACAGAAGAATCTACTCTCGGAGTGTATTCCTGCCTACGTGTGCCATGTGTATCTGCCCTTAAATGTATTCAAAGGGACCGAAATGTTCTGTATTGTGGTATCTGCATTCAACATATGGAGCATTTGTGTGTATCTGGAGGGGAAAAAAAAAGGGGAAAAAAAAACCCAACCAAAAAAACCCCTAAACCAAAACACACAAAACAAAAAAATACCCACAGCAAAAGCAGTAGCGCAAATGGAGGCTGACGCCAGTCTTCAGTTTTACAGTTTTATACCCACACGTTAGAGATTACCCTGCCCTCACCTTCGGGTCATTACCCTGGGCTTTACGGCTCATCTGCTGAGAGCTGGACGGCAGGAGAGCCCGGCTCCGGGGCTCGCACGGAGGGCTGGGCGTGCGGTAGAGAGACGGGGGACCCGCGCCCCCCAGCACGAGCCCCCTGCCGAGATAGGGCGCGCCCGCCCCGCCGCCGCCCTGCCTCCGCCTGGGGTCCCTGCTCTCACCTCCGGCTGCTCTGCACGGAGCCTGTTCTGTGCGGGTCGTTGAGGAAGGATACCTAGTGTAAAAATCAGCCGGGAAAAGTGCATCTTGAGAGAAACGTATCCTAGGAGCGCTCACTCTCTTGAAACAGCGGGTGGCTGTGGCAAGCGCTCTTCAGAAGTAATAGGGTCGGGTATCGTGATTTTTTGTGCATCTATGACAGACTCTATCAAGTGACTTTCCATGCAACACCCCTGCCCGTGGTCAGGGTTATATCCCTACCGTACCCCATATCACGCGTTCCCTGCACATCCCCGTTTTAGCACCCCTGCCCATCAGCAGTGTGCGATTCTCTCCCTGGTTGTTTCCCTTGCTATCGGGAAAGGTTCTACAGATGAAAGACAAAGCACATCAGGAGTCAACCGAACGAGGACCGCCCCTGGCCCCGCGCCGGGGGACCGAGCACCCGAGGAAACTTTTTCTTTTCTTTTTTTTTTTTTTTTTTTTTTGTTAATAATAATAATAGAAGAATTAAATGGGGACCGTTCCAGACCACAGTATAATTCCCTTTCGGGAAAAGCCCGCGCGGGGCGCGCCCCGCGGCGGTGGGTGCGGGGGCTCGCCGTGCGTCAGGCACAGAGTGGCGTCAGCGGAGAAGGGGCAGCGGGAGGGGGCAGGGGGTATGGGGGGAGGAGGGAGGGATCTTCGTCAGGAGGCGACGGCGGCACTGCTGTGACATCACCCCGCGGCTTATATAGTTGGGGAAGGGTCTGTGTCCCCCGTCTGGTGCCTGCAGCCGCCCGACAGCACGCGTGCGGAGGGCGTGGAGCAGCGGGGCTCTCTCTGTCTGTCTCTCTCTCTCTCTCTCCGTCTCTCCTCAGGATTTATGGACTTTACTTTCTAGAGGGCGGCGCGGTAAGGATGAGAGTCCAGCTAGTGTGCGTGGTGCTGCTGGCCCTGGCCTCCTGCAGCCTCTGCTCAGGTAAGTCCCCGTCGCCGCCCTGCAGCGGGTCCGACCGGGCGCGCCCCTCACCGCCCGTCCCCGAAGTCCCCCGACCACTCAGCACTGAGTCGTTCCCGGAGCTGTAAGAGGGACCTAAAGAAAAGAGGTGAAGTCGCTTCGGGCTCCCCCAGCTGTCCCCGGTAGGCGCCCGGGAGCTGTCTCTAGTAACGGACTCCGGCCAGCATCATGTTTTGTATTACTCCTGTAACTTTCTCCCTTCATGTAAGCCCTTCCTTCTCACGGCATCCATGTCATGGAAGTAACTGTAGACTAGTCACTGGAAATACAAATCAGTGTAGACCATCTGCTTGGTTGTGCTACCTCATTCGTGGTTCATTGAATATCATGTATTTCAAAATGTGATAGAAATTATTATTTCTACAACTCATGAATAGCTGCTGTAATCCAAATCAACATGAATATCTATGCACCTTTGTCACTTTTTAGAGAGAGAGATACAGTTTTATTATGTGGGCAAAAAATTACTGGCAATTGATCTGAAATTATGATCAAAAAATGCTGAAGCAGGTGCAGATCACAAAATAGGAAGGTCAGTGTAAATACATTTCTTCTCCAAGAGTAACTGCTTTAGAAACTCAAAAGGAGTTAAAATGCATTGCCTGGTCCTTTGGAAAATGATATCTCTGAAGATGTACCATTTATATCCTAAATTTATGACAAAAGATGGGTACACACAGGTGTACAGATATAGACAGGAAGCAGAATAGCCTTAAAAATACACTCTTAACTAACTTTTGAATTACTTTGATTTTTAACGCCACAAAATTTAGTGAGTAAATTTACAAACATCTTCACTTTTCAACTTCAGTATTCAGGAGGACTCAGAAATCCTAATTCTTCCTTTAGCTGAAAGTTTTCAATTTGTATTCCCTGCAGAAGAAAAATGTAACACATGTAATACCTGCATTTTATCACAGTTTAAATATAATCATTCTGTATATTGTAGAGAACTGGTGATCTTAGCGACAAGGCTTAACGTTGATTTTTTCTCCCCATCTATTTGAAGCTTTTTAAACAAATTCTTCTAGTATTTTCAATGAGGCAGTTTCAAATTTAATTCTTTGTAGAGCCTAAATGAAAACCCATTAAAGTAAAAAATGTCAGTGGAAAGTAAAATAGGTTCATAAAAGAAAAAAGCAAAAGCAGAAGCAAAATTGTATGTGTAAATAACATTGATGGTTTATTTGCTTGAAAATTTGAAATTGTTTTTAAATGAGAAATGCTACAGAGAAGTTTATGTGAAGGAGCCTAAATCAGTTTTAACTAAAATGTTCAGTTATGTCAAGTGATGGTTAATTTTAATTTGCTTTTGAAAATGTTTGCCATCAGGGGAAAGTGTGTAACTGTAGAATGTAACTGTTCCTGTAAAATATGAATATATGAATAGAAACTATTTTTTTGTCAATAGAACCAAGAAAATATCAAACTGTTTGGATTTCCCTCTGATTTGAATGATAACACATGACCAGACTTCTTATACATTGCTCTCTGAGACCCTGTTCCTTTTATGCTTTTGCTCCTTGTCCACCTCTTTCACTCCTGAATTACCTGCTTCCTTCTCTTCCTCCAAGCCTTGCTTTATTACCATTCAAAGAATTTTGGCTAGACTCCTAAATAATGTCCTCTAAGCTTCTTTTCTCAATCCAAATACTTCTTAATACCTACCCACTTTCCACGGCTGCAGCTACCTTCCAACCTTCATGGTGTGGAAGCTATCTTACGTCCTTTATAGAATATAAAAACCAGGTGTTAATCAGACACAAGCCCTTTTACTGCTCTCAGCAGGCATGATCCAGGACACCACAAATCATGATGCTATCATTGTGTGTGCTGCTCACCTGTTCACAGCAGTTGCTAACATTGGTAGAAATTCAGCTGAGGTGATCTCGTGCTGCCAGCCGAAATTTGGGTAGCGGTGAAGCAATTAAGAAGTCAGGTAAAACTGACAACCGTTGCTGCTAGAAGGAAGAAAAAGGCATTAGGTTGGAGAATAGTTGCTAGTGACTTGCCATAATACTGATCTACAACCAGTCTTATTTAATATGAAAATGTTAAATATTAAATAAGACTGGTTGTAGATTAGTATTACAGCAAGTTACATCAATGCAATAACTTCAATGCAAAAAATAATGAATGAATGTACTGTGTTGGTAATGCAAAGGTGAGCAGGAGCATCCCTAGAGAGGAATGGGATATGCATAACTCACAGAAGTTTTTGATGACCTAAATAATTGAACTGAGAAGCAGTGCAACAATACAAAATGCAGTAGCTTACGAAATAATACAAATTCCCGTTAAAAGCTCCTTTTAACCGAAGCACAGCCATTGCTGAGGAAATAAAAGACTTGATCATATTATCTAATCTCTTTTTTTTTTTTTTTATGTGTGTGTGTGAGATACTGAAGTTTTTCAGCCATGAAAAACAAATAAAATACAAAAATATGTAAGAGAGCTATCCTCTGTAGCTAGTGGTAAGCATTAAGGTTGTTAAGTGTTGAGGCTTCTGATTCAAACGTACAGTTTGCTCTCTTGAGAACACATCAGGCACAGAGGAGGGGTGGTCTGATGAGCTGGAGAACACAAGGCTATTACAAGAGAGAAAAATAAATGTGAGTCCCATAACTTGGGGCATAGTCTTTCAGTGAAACATTTATGGGATTTCCAGGGGAATGCTTAATGTTCAAAAAGGCACAGTGATCTTGCACTGATCTTTGCTGATCGTCGTGTAAGCACCCACCAAAAATCTAAGCTGGGAAGAGCTGTGATTCCTCTAAAAAATATTACAAATAGAAATTTATAATTTTTAGTGTATGAATTTATATACATACCATGAATAAATTTGTAATTATAAATAAATTGGGCTTGAAATTAGAAGAAAGTGAATAAACATTGATAGTTTTCAAAAATTTCCTGAAGAAGAAACACAGTGACAGTAGTGGTAAGATCTATCAAGATTGAACATGATTGATTTCTAAGAGCATAAAAATGGCTTCTGTGCTAACAGAAACCTCTGACAGATTAGCACATATTTGTGTATAAGGTCCCTTACAATCTCATATTCTGGGAAAGGTAGTGACACAACATGGTGATGATCTCTGAAATGAAGTCACAGACAGAATCTATACCCAGATTCAGTGGTAGGGTGTTACATACCAACAGCATTGATCATTTTAATGAAAGTGAGATGTGAGTTATATAAATATGGAATAGATTGTGGTCTAGTTTGTTTTGAAATATTAGTGTATTGTTTGGCTTTAGGGCTGCTGGTATTCCAGGAAAGCTAAAAGCTATGTGAAACACTGTTTCACTTAAAGACTGAGAACTGATTTCTGTATATTTCTCCTTTTTGAGCTGTGTTGCTACTACATTTTCAAGGCAGCAGATCTTTGTTGTGATTCTTTACAGCACAAAGTAGAAATGTGTGCGTCTGTTTTCTCTTTGTACAACAATTTTACCCTTTTCACCAAATCACAGGTCTTGTGAGTCTACTGAACTATCAAAGATCAATTAAATCAGTAAAGAAAATCCCAAGACTGCCACTCAGAATGTTTTCTTTTTGTATGTGCACTGTCAAGATCTTGTATCACAAACTGGTCAAGCTCAATTCCCTCATATCAATAAAAATAGCCTTAATTCAACTCAGAATAATCAAGACTATTGATTATTAATCAGGTAATCATTACTGCCATTCACCTAAATGCTTAGCTGCTACTTAAATAAATATTTTTTAAAAATAAATATGCAAATTCTTCTTCCAAAGTAAGAAGAGGTAACAAATAATTATTATGAAAATCAAAATGATTTTGAATTAAGAATATTGCAGCAGGGTTTTTTTACTGAAAGGACTCCACTTTAATGGCCTGTCCACCATTGAATTGAGATTAGTGAACTGTTTCATTCACCTCAATAAGCTTGACTGTGCTTTAAAAAGGTAGTAAGTATCATTTTTAACATAATGTTCTCATTACCTGAAGACTCTTCACCATCCTTCTAGGTCATTTTGCTGTGGTTTTATCTAGGTTGTGTTTGTTTTTCAAAATTCATTGGTATAAGTTCTGTATACTGAATTGAAATGTCCATGATTTGTGATCAAATAATAAACATATGTTTCTGGTTTATTCCCAGATTCAGAAGAGGAAATGAAAGCATTAGAAGCAGATTTATTGACCAATATGTACACATCAAAGGTAATTATTTTTCCTCTTTTAGCTAACGGGGAGAGAGCAAAAGAATTCTCATTACAAACCCAGAAGTCTTTGGACAAAATAATAACCTGTGGTCTAGACCAAGAAGTTCAGTGTTAGGTTTTGCTTTGGTGCAAGATTTCCTCCAGTTCAAAGGAAATTTAAAGGTGTCGATGTGACACAATAAATGTGTTCCTCACATGTACACTGGTACTTTCATTAAACTGTCAAAACTGTGTTATGTGCAGAGATGTAAATTTATATGAGGAAATGTGTTTCCAATATGATTATGCCTGATGAAAGCTAAATTAACCTTGAGTCAAATCTGTTAAGTGTTATTTTCATGCAGAACTTTTCCTATATACATATAAAATTAGGACAGTCGTAAAGCAAAAATTGTTAATACCTTTGCTGATTTTGATTTAAGAATTTAATCATAGTGTTAGTACAGGAACATGAGGACATGACTGTGAAAATATTAACCTGATAAATGGTATTTCTTTGCTAAGTTGCCAGACTGTGAATGATCTACATGTTATTTAACACAAAGAGATAAAAAATCAGTTAAACCTCATATTGACAAGATGAAGCAGCACGTGTTGCTCATATGTATTGAACAGGTTGATAGACAAATAATTTTTTAACGCTATTATTTTCCACAAATGATTTAAGAAATATATATGTCTGATATACCTTCAGCAACATATTAAAGAAAAAACCCTGAAACAAGTGCCATGGGTTTAAGGGTGAATATTTTAATTCATTCTTCCAATGAAGTTCACGTGGTGCTTAAATTTAATAGAAAATAAAATGAGGAATGAAAAATTTCTTCCAAAAAAAAGAGAGGTTCGTAAGCCAATGACTAGTTGAAGGTTAAGTACAATACCTGCCAGGAATGCTTCTGCATTTACTGTATTTGCTTATATGTGAGCTTTTCCGCAGAATTATTGAATAGACTGAAAGAAGAAATGAGGCCAGAAAATAATTTTTTTTTTATCTGGTTTGGCAGTTCTTAGGTTTCTATGTTCTTTAATGGCATGGTAAGTAACATTAGATGACAAATAAACCTGTTTGCTACTCACTTTTCTAAGGTACAGAAAAATTTAATAGCTATGCTTTTTCTGTGGCATATTTAAATGTAGGAGGTTGACAAAAATAGTACTTTCTCTGTGTGGCAAGCATAGTATGCCCTGGAAGGAAAACCTGCAGCTGTCGGTATTTCTGCTACTGGCTTTAGTGGATCTGTGAATATAACTTCCACTTTTCCTCCCTCTCACCACAGAACACAAGTTCAGGTAACTCAAAATGCACAAATATATTGCACTGGTTGATAATGTAATGATGTCTTCCGTAATACTCTCATGTTGTTTCATGTCATGTAGCTTGCTATTCAACTTCTTTATGGTATTTAACACCAATCAAGTGACACTTGATGTTGACAGAAGCAGTTGATTCATGCTGGGGACATTGCTTTAATTCTGCATTATATTGCCTTAAATTACCATCTAAAATTCATTATTTTAGACAATATACATTGTATTTTGGCATCAAAGTAAGGCATGGCAGAACTACTAAAAAGTATCCATCAACTTTTCTACAAGAGTATACCACTCTTACATTCATAATTAAAATGAATTATTTTTTTCTCTTGTCCTCTGCCAGCTGTGTAATAGCTGTCTTGTGTTGTACCAGAGATCTGATTCCAGTTGAGGGCAGTTACTGCTCAATTGCATTAACTGTCTTTGACACTGACTTTGTAATAAGCAGCAAAGGAAATCCTGACAATTTTAGCAGCATTAAGATGGAAAAAAATATTGGTTGCGAAAGCTCAGATCTAAAAGTGAAGCACAATGGATCATCACTTCTGGGTTTAGTATTTGACAGAAAAAAGTCTGCCTCAGTAGGCACTTGTGAAATATATCATCAAGACTACTGCTAGGGCTTAAGCACATACCTTTTGCAACATTCAGTAGTCTATCCAATGTTACAGGAAGAATTACTGTATGCCTTTGATTTCACAAACGGCTGTCCAGTGTCTGCTGCCCTTTTTCAAACTGCTCTTTAAAGTCATCCATATGGTGAATCACTCTCCATCCTTAAAGAAGTATGTCCATGCTTATCATAACCTCTCTTCAACATTTAATAAAGTTTATCACCCTTCCCTGCTGTTACATCTTAAAGAAGATACAAGGAGCAAACAAGTCCCTAAAATGCTTTATCTGGCTTTTCTGTAAGATAAAATCCAAAAAAACATTTGGAAGATCTGGTAAAATGACAAAACCTGATGTGTCACAAATATGTGGAAAGTTATCTCCTGCCTCTGCTTGGTATCAAATAGAAAACTCTATTCCTGTCAAAGGGATAACTCTATTCACAGCTTCCTAAATGCTTACCTGAAAGAGGTAATTACATGAAGAATGTCCTGAACTCGAAAGTTATTAAGTTCATTTGTTGATTGTGTCCCCCCCATGCTAATTATAGGGGGGAAAAAAATTTCCTTGAAGAGTATGTCATCACCAGAATATACTCCACGTTTGGGATCCCGCCTGACATTAATTTTCTGAAGTCTGGGACCCTCTGAGCTCTTCATTCTTTTAGGATGCCTATTTCTGACTGTATTTGTCCAGAGGGCTTAACCTTCTTGTCAGAAGAGCTACCTAGAAGTTACTGACTTCCTGACTTAGTCATCATGTGAAAATTCATTAGGTTTACAGGCATAAGTATACACCATGGAAGAACTTCTGCTGTAACAGAACTCGATGTTATATCTGATTAAACATAGAGAATATTTTTATTATTTTTGTCATTACAGTCTGAACAAAATTCAGCTACAATTCTGGAAAGGAACCATAGAGATCCTACACTAGCTTGGGCTTTTTACTTGACTATGACTTTGTTTTTTATCTCCTTTCATTACATAAAGAAAAGAATTTAAAAAACAGATAACTGTTTTTCTGAAAGAAATATAGCATTTGGGACGTATGCATTATAATAAAAGAAGGGTCTTAAGCAAACTGTCAGGAGTATCATTCAACCATAAATGGAAATAAAATATCATATAAATTATAACTTGGGAATCTTTTATCTTACATAGGACAAACCTGTTGTCAAAGAACAAAATGTTCTCAAGCTCATTTCAGTTTCTTATATGATGTAAAATTCTCTTTCAAGATATATGAGGTGTGGGAAATCATATGTCTGAGTCTTTTTTCAGAAGCATGTTCAACAATGGAAATGCACACATCATGTTCACTTCAGCATTAATACCTTTTAAATTCTTGTTCATACTGCAGTCTCTTTTGTTCCTTCAGATCATTCCCAGATATTTTTCAAGTTAATCTTAAAAAATTGGTTCCATCTTGGCAGTTAAGTGTTCCTTGTTCTATTGTGTAGGTATTTTTCAAAACATGTCTTGAGCTACTGTAGTTGTTATTGCTTAGCCTTTGTGGAAAATATATCACATACTGGAAATTAACCTGAACATTTGGATTATCGTCATCTTAAACTGTGTTTTTATATATACTTTTAAGACAACTGCCTCAGAGATTTTTCGTAATCTAAAAAGCAAAACTGTCTGATTTTCATGCTTGCTGTAATAGTGGAGAAGAAAAACAACATGACTGCTCTGTTCAGTGATTGGACATGACCTGGAAAACTCCTTGTTCAGTTAAAAAAACCCCAAAGTTTACTCTTGAGTGAAGTTCTTAATTGTTTATAGTCTCATTTTGCGAGCTGGTAGCAAGATAAGTCAGAAGCAGGTGTACCCAAGTAAAAATACTTTGAGGTGATATACGCATGGCATTAATAGGAATGAGACTCTCATCACAAACGAAGTATACTTGCAGATGGTGCTGAAAAATTGTTTCCTCCTAACCTCATAAGTATCAGCTAAGACCAATTTCACCTAATGAAGTCTGCTATTTAAGTATTTTACTAATATACAGGGTAAAATTCCTTTAGGCATAGACATGCATCAGGTTGACATAAAATAGTAACTTCAGATCGAAAAGATTCTATATATTATGCAAGAAGGTATAAAAAATTTCCCTATCCTTTACTCTTCTCTTTTATTCCCATCCATTGGAACATTTTTGGTTCTTTTTTAACTCAGAAATCTCATTTGCTCATGTAACACTGCCTTTAGATTTTATGCTCCATTGTAATTTAGCTGTTGCAGTGGTAGCTTGCATTTCTTTTGTATACCCAAGAGAGAAAAGTGCACTGGAAAAGCTTCAATTGTCATAGAAAGCTCCATATTTTTGTATTTCACAAATATTTTAAAACAGACTAAAGAACATTTTGAAATTGCAGTGGACACTTTTCTTTTCCCTAGTTTATCTTCTGTTAATAAAATTATATATTCTGCAAAGAGAGTTTTATTTGAACCTGTCACATATTTTCAAATAATTTGATAGACTAACTTGGGCACTTAGATGGGACAACAGATGAGCTCAAAGTAAACAGTATAGAACCAATTACAAGCTTCCGAATAAGATTTGAGATTTGCTTTCTTCTTAGCTTCAAAACAAAATACTCTTTCCTTATTCTTTCTGAACCTTCTCAGGAATCTGAGAACACAGTGTGGTTCTATTCTAATTTTGAAAGGCATGTGTGTATCAGAGGTATATCGGAGTAATGATCATGGCCAAAAGGGAATTTTTTTTATCTGTTGCTAATGGTGATGGAAGCTGTTCTTGTTTCTTCCTCTTTCCTCTCAATTTTCTTTCTTCTCCTTCAAAAACTAGGAAAGTGTGGTGAATATAAATTATTTATAAATATATTTATATTTGTAAATGTATTTATATTTATAAATAAATCTTGAATGCAACGCCCCTTTGTTAGGAAGGTGTTCTAAAGAAACAGATTATGTAATTACCCAATGTTCAGATAAGTAAGCACTGCATCCACGCTCTCAATTAGTGCTGTCAAGTATGTGAAAGGCAATGTCTGTTTTAGTGTTATACCTATATTTAACTTAGGACATCCAAGAAAGGAAGCAACCACATTTCAGTTCATAGGTAAAGTCTAATCCTAATGGGCACATCAAGGCAGTCCTTGCCAGTAATAAATAGGAATTTGCTATTTGACTTTTGATTGGAGATCGCTGTGTCACCAGTAGTAGTTTAAGGAAACTAATTTTTCTACTAACCACTAAAAGGAATACAGTATGAAAGAAATAATTAATAGTGGGAGAAACAAGAAAGTGGTAAAGACATGAAAAGCAATGAATGAGGTAGGAATACACTTTTTCACTTACTTTTTTCCTATTGATAACCAAAATGGAAGAAGACAATTGCCACAAATGCTTGTAAAGAACAATACCAGTAGAAAAGTAAAATTAAGATTCCCAAAATTTTTTAGAAGTGTTTAAAAGTTAAATAGCTCATAAATAATGTAAGGTACTGGAACAAGCAAAATTTGAGACAAACCATGATGAAATTTCTTTATTTCTTTCTGTAACGTCTCTGGGCAGTTTCATTATGGACCACCTAAATATAGTTCGCAGTTTTTCAGTCTAGTTACCAAGTCAGGAATACTTTTTTTGCCCAGGTCTGTTTTATCTTTGCTCCATCTTTCTCTAAGCCTGTAGCTTCAACTAACATCTCCCAGGCTCTTGACTCTCCAGCATCCAAAACTCCTGGGGCTTACAAATTCCATAACTTCAGACCCAGCCTCATCAGACAGATTGTGCCAGGGCAGGGACTCCTTTCCTTTTCTCAGGGAATTTTGAAATGACTGGTATTTGTTCTGAACTGGGGAGGAGCATCTAGTTAACCACAGGCATCCAGCTTGCATTCCAGAACTGGGAATTTATCTGGTGGGTTTGATTCATTGTCCTTATTTGCACCTGTGACTTTATATTATATTAATTTCCATCTATGTTTTGTTTGCACCTGTGCAGAATGGCTATGAAATGCTGTCATTCTGGTTTGGTAGCAGTTTAGTTTTTTCATCATGTTTCTCTACCTGCAGGGTAAGGCTTTGGGGAAGCAGAATTAGTGTGCTTAATAAATGAGCTGTCCTAAGTTCAGCACTCTATAATTATTGTCTAAAAGTTGACCAGATGAAAAGTACTTCAGAAATACAAACTTGCTCCTAACAAAATGTCTGAATGTTGCACATGATGACTAAAAAGCCAAAACACATTAAATAGTGGGTATTTTTATTTTCAGATTAACAGAGCAAAACTTCCTTACTGGAAAATGACCCTGCTAAATGTCTGCAATCTTGTCAACAACCTGAACAACCAAGTGGGAGAGACAGTAGAGGTAGATGAAGAGGATCTCGTTTCAGGAAGACAGTTCCCCTCTCCTCTGGATGGCTTCAGCTTGGAAGCAATGCTGACAGTATATCAACTCCAAAAATTTTGCCACAGCAGAGCCTTTCAGCATTGGGAGGTAAAAAAACCTGTCACAAATGTGTGTTTTGAATTCTGTTAAACTCTCTGGCTCTATTTTTAGTGGTGTTGTAAAATCCATATCCATCTGACTTCCATCACATGGTCTGAGCTTTCTTTCCCTTTTTTATATTCTCTAATACCTCTAATATGCCTCTTTTAATAAGAGTTGAGAATTAGTGCAGTTTCTGATGAGCTGAGTGTATGTTTCTTATAACAACTCATGGAAAAATGAGAACTTTTCTTAGCTGGATACTTTTTCCGTTCTTTGTAGCCATTCCAAATAACCGAACAAACACATGAAAGTAATCTCTGTGCCAGAATACATAATTAATATCTGCTTAACAGTTGTGAAGTTTCTCACATTTATTGAGGCATAAATAAATGCAGTCAGTGTTTTTGTTTTAAGACCCTAAGGCAAACTGGATTCAAAATGCATGGACACAGGCCCATGTGTACATATGACTTTGCTTGGTACTCTGGGTTTCATATCAGTGCTAGGAAACTGGCAGCGAGGTAACTCCTGCTTTTTGTTTCCCTGCACCTAGAGAGGGCCCTGGAAGTTGACATTGTGACTGTATGAAAATTACTGCTCTTAAATAGGGATTGTTTGTAGTCCATTTGTGATATTTGTTGTAGTACAACGATCACACAGAAGCACACTAGGCACAGTCCTCGTGTCGTTAAATAATACACTAAAAACTGCTTTGTGTAGCTAAAAAGATATCTCAGTGTTACTACTTACTTTCCAGTAAACCAGATTTCTTCAGCTGTCTCAGGTTCACAGACATTCTTATGGAGGAAGCTCTGTATATAATAGGTTTATTCTAAATCCTTATATTTGCTGAGACAGTTCATACAAAAGACTGCAACATCTTTGAGAACTCCCAAATAAAACTAAAAATACAATTATATATACAAGTTTGATTTGCAAAATTTTGGCTTCTTGTGCTATATTTTAATTCCTAATTTGTTTATTACAGATTTTGATTTTTTGGCTGTAGGAAGTTGCAGATTAAAATATTGCTCAAAAGCTGAAACCAGGAAGGAGTGCAGGTGTTTAGCCTAAATGAGTGACAACAGAGTGACAGTCATTAGGAAGTTTTCAGTAAATTTGAGTTTTAGTGCAAGGAGGATATGCTAGCTTTTCTCTCTAGTCAAAACCAGTGATCTCATTTGTTTCAGTGGAATTTAAATATCATCTCTGTAGGGCTCAGTTGATCTTTAGCCTGATCTTAGGTTTGTGTCTTGAGTTTTGTCTTTTTTTTTTTTAACCCTGCAACTATTGTAGTAAAGATTTTTTTTGGTGGCATATGTAAAGTATATTTTAAAAATTTCTAGGAACTTATAATCTTCATTACCAAAAAAAAGCTGATAACATTGTGTCTCTTCTTGCATCCTACAGTTAGTTCAGCAAGATGCTTTTGATCTAGAGAACTCAAGCCAAGAAAAAGAAATAATGAAGAGAAAAAATCCCTATATTCTGAAACGGCAGCTACATGTGAACAAAGCTAGAAGACCATACATACTCAAGAGAAGTTCATATTACTGATGCAGCAGAAGAAAACAATGTATATTTAGGTTATAGGTAACTGTGTATTATGGTTATCTTATCTAAATCTAAAATCATACTTGTGTGAAAATATACTATGGAAAATCAAGATGATAACATAGCTGTGTCTTTTTTGCAATTGCTGTTTCTCGATTGTGAATTTTTCCTACTTGAGATTAATTGGACTAATACATTTGCAAATAAAACTAGTTTTTAAGCATGATGTATTGTACGAAACTGAGATTTCAATATACTTACAATAATCTTGTAGTCTTCTCCAATCTTATAAAGGACTCCACCAAAACATCAAGGAAATTGATATTGACCATAAATCCTATTGAGAATCTTACAGTTTCTTAATGCAACATGTCAAACGTATATATGCTTGCAATTTTTTTATAATATGCTAGTAAGAACTGCCACAGTATTTTATGTATTGGCCATTAATTTATTAGGGAATAGGTCTAAGGAAGTAAGGGAATACTATCAACTAACTGTTAAATGGCAACTTCAAAATTAATATTTTAAATAGTCTGCTTGTAAGTGAATTTTAAGTTCTTGACTTCTAACTTGCCACTAAAGACTAATTATTTAGGAAAGCAACACATAATGAGACTTTTAAAAAGTATGCTAGTGGAAACAAACCTAGATGTGCTTCAGAGTCTTGTATATCAGTAACTAAATAATTTATTAAATCACTAAAAGAATTTACGGTGTTTACCTTATCTATGCATGCTCAGAAAAAAAAAAAAAGACAAAAGCTAATTCATGTCCCAGTGTTGTCACTGTTAAAAAATCAAAATAGTAATCTGATTACATGAGAAACTTGGGGAAGTATTCAAAAGATGAATTGAAATTAGAACATCTTAAAGTTACAATTAAAAGGCATTTGCTTTCCTTACCTCTACAATTTTGTAATAATAGTCAATGTCAATGTTTAAGACAGTCTTGGAGGCTAATTGAGAGGGAAGTTTACAGAATGGGAAAAATTGTTATCAAGCGCAAGGAATCAATTTCCACCTGGAAAGTTACACATTTTCCAGCTCTGTGGTGTGTGCATAAGACTGGGAATCTCAATGATTCTGAGTTCCAGTCTGGAGGAGAACAGCCTGAAAGGACTGGGGGCCACAGCAACTATAAAAATAGAGGGATAGTGCAAGCCCTATGAAGCCTGGATGCTCAAACCAAGAGGTAAAATGGGACAGACGTTGTTTTTGAAAACTTGCCTGTTTCCTGGCTGAAGTATTTTCTCAAAGTAATTCTGCAAAAACAAACAGATAAATAACCCCCCCGAACTACCCCCTAAACCCAACAATTTAAAAAAACCCAAAAAAACAAAAACACTCTCACCCTCCCCCCTCCAAAAAAAAACCAGACCCAAAATCAAAAACCAAAAACTCTGAGAATTTCAAAATCCTCTCACAGATTAGATTTTCTGCCAATTATTATTAAATGTATACAGGGATATGCATAGAAAGAACATACCCATACCAATGGTTATACCAACTTTGTTAGAAGGGGAGGGATGGGGTTTTTTTGCAGTAAAATTTATTTTCACTGTCTTAAAACTAATTATATTTCCTTTTCTCAGTGCAAATGTTATTAATCAGCTTCTTCATTCAATACCCATTAAATGTATGCACTGACAAGATATAACTGAGCATACAGTAATTATTGTAATAATCACTATGACTTGAATACACCAAAGCACTTAAGCACATTCAGTCTCAGTATTTTAAATGCTAAATGTGCTTCAGGGCTTTGCTTAAATAAGGTTCTAGTAAACTCATACCCTTCACTTTTTTCACAAAACTGTCATATAATTAGACTGGAAACCCAGTATGGTCTCAAGTGGCTAACATTCTCTTTCCAACAGACCTATAAGATGCCTAGTCCTATTGTGGTTATTTTACATTCTAAATTATCTTTTGGTCTGAAATTACAAAGCAGAACAGAGGTTGTTCCAAAATTCACTGCTAACAGTATATAAGGAAAAAAAATAAAAAGAGACTTCAGATTGTTTTTTCATGAGAAACACAGAAGAATAAGACAAAAAAATAGGTTGCCATTATATTTTTCTCTCTTGCTCAGTGTAAGAGTATAAGAGCTAAGAAAAAAAAAAGTAAGGTAAGGTAATATGGTCTTCATATCTTCAATGTACACTTTTCAAAAACAAAACCACCCTTCCATGTTTCATTTTAGGGGTGATTTAGATATTCAGGGTGATGACAGAGGACCTCAAATGATGATATTAACTGTTTCACCCTCATCTAGTGCTCCACGCTCAAGCTGGACTTACCTTGTGACTGTGTACTTGATCCTTGAAGAGCAGAGCTAACAGATTAGTCAGACTGGCTGAAAATGGCTTTAAATAACCCATTTCCTTTCAGCAGACTGTGAATCCACACACAGCCAGCTATTATGTGTCACTGGAGGAGGCAGAGGCTAAAGCATGTCAGGAAAGTCCATCTTGTCAGGTGTCCCTAGTCTCTAATGGAGGTGTCCAGGGACCTGTCAGAGGAATGGCATTCAGAGTGGCAGTCTGAACTAGATAAGGAAACAAAATCTATAATTGTAACATGGTCAGTTAAGCTACAAAAGTCAAAGGTGGCAATTCAGCTTTTTGATCACTCATGAAAAGCAAGAATAGCAACATTAAAATATTAGAAAACACACTTAAACCATAGAATTAAGCCAGGTGCACAGAGCTGTTAAACGAAATTTTGAAATCTGGGAGACCTTTATTTGCTTCAAATCTCTCACTTCCTCCACATCAGGAGGAAGCTGTTGCTTCCTCCTGATGACCTCTCTGCAGTGGAATTGCAGCCTTCCTTTAGCCTTCACTTTTGGATGATGGTAGCAAAAAGAACCACACAAAAAAACCCAAGAAAGGCATGCTTATGCATTTTTTTCTCTATTTTGCACATCTTTCAGTGAGAACCTTAGGGTGCTTACCTTGTCCCTAGCTGTGCATTGCCTGTAAAATCAATGCTGTATTTGCTGCAGCAATGAGTGCTGAATGAAGTTCAAGTAAGAGGAGGGTCTCACAGTATGTAAAGCTATTGATTCAGAAATTCAGACAGCTTCTTTTTTATCCCTTCCCCTTCCCTTTTCCCTTTCCCTTTCCCTTCCCCTTTTTTTCATGAAGCTCATAATTCCCTTAAGTTTAAAAATATTTTTTTGAAGAACATTAATTCAGATTACAGCCTTGGCTTAAAGAATGATATGGGAAATTTTGTTTTATAAAGGCAATTATTGAGAGATGTTCTGTCTTTCTCCGTCTTTTCAGAGGAGCACAGTATTCCTACATATTCAGTTGTTAATTTTTTTATGAAGGTCATAGATGAATAATTATACCAATTATTCAGAAACTTCATACTAAATTATTTCTTAACCTCCTAAAATATTTGATATAGTCATACAAAGCAATTGCAGAAACTTCTCAATACTTTCTAATGTATAATTAAGTATACCTGAGATTTACTTTGATTTTTTACATTTTTAAGGGTTCTAATCCATAATATTACAACTGCCCTATACAAGAAAAGTAAAACATAGAGAAATTAAAAATTTTATCACTTCTGAAGCATATAGAAACGTTATAATAATTTCTGTTATCGAGGTTAAATGTTATCGTGGTGATAGAGTAAGTCTTCAGTTCTTGAGTCTTGCTTGTGGTATATTATAAATTTTGCTGTTTTCTGTCTTTTATAAATGTAAACTTTGTTCTATGTCTTAGGTAAGAATTTAATGGATGTACTGTGAACAAAGTAGATGAAATGTTGAGTTTTCAGATTAAGAGAGATTTAATTTTGCGATGTGTGATCATGACTGTGCCTCATACCCTATTCCTAGTGAGCACACATTGGACGCATAATTCGTTTGATCTTTATTCTTTTTCCCCAAGATTAGTTATCAGTTTGCACTATAGGGTGTCAAATTGAAAATACAAGCCACCACTATAATGATTGAGTTTTGGAGGGCAGAAAGAGAAGGAGGTTCTTCTGAAATTCCCCAAGGTTCCAGACTGATCATTGATGTTCTCGATGTCCAAAATATCGGACTGACTGAAAGCAGTCAGAAAACTAGAGTTGCAGAGAACCTGCAAAATAAAGTCTAATGACTCTTGTGACATAGTGATAGAGTCAGAACGTGTATCTCACTCTCCAGGAATCAAAAAAAGTGTAAGGGAGGGATTGACCTTCACAAGGAACCTGGGAAATTAAATTTTCATTGCTACCAAATCCAAGCACTCAGAATTTGTGAGTGAGGCTGCAAAAACTTGCAAATAGGTAGATAGATGACAGACAGATACATAGACAGATAAGAAATAAATATCTCTGATTTCTAAATAAAGTAATACACACGTGCCAAATAATTTTTATTTCTTTCCATTTACTGGACTTCCAGCGACCGTCTGAATCACATTTCTAAGCACTTCTATCAAGAGGTGCTAAAACACATTTGTTAATGTTTATTGCTACTGAAAATTGACATTCTCATCCAACCTTTTGAATCCAGCAGATGTCAGATTAAGACACACATAAAAACATAATGTTCAGGATCAGATTTTAAAATTCAAATCCAGGATATATGGATGGGCCTGCCAGACCAAACAATCAGATGGTGGAAAAGAAAGAGCTTTGTGGTACCTCATTAGCTGGCAAGTTTTGACTGAACGACTTGTCTCAGGTGGCAATATGGGAAAATGACATGCAAGCCACCCAGGAACTTTGGGCTGCATGTCAGCTATTAAGAAATATAAAGCCTTCAGTTTCTGAAGTTTTTGGGAACTCTTAGTTTCCCAAGTAAGACTTGCTTTGTCTGAGTAGATGAGAGTGTATAGCTGATGCCTCAGGGCATGCCTCACTTCCTTTATATAGAAGGAAAAGATGGGACTATACAAAACTGGACTTGAATTATCAAGGAATAGCATTTGTCTGTTTGAATTCCCAGTGGGTCAAGAACCAGTCTTTTTTGTCACGAAAGTTACAGTGCACTATTAGTCTAGAACCATTTCCTATTTTATTCTTGAAAAGCAGTTGTAGGAATCTTTTGTAGGATACAGTTCTCTTATGAATACATAAAGGGCTTCTCAGATTGTCTACACATTGCTTTAATGGATGAATGCCAGCAGCTTGAAGACCTCTGTCCAGGTGCTTAACAGTGTTAATGGTATGAGAATGAAAAACTGTTGGACTTGTATACCAGTGAAGCTGATGTTGAGGATAGACTGGGAACATCCTAAAAGGCAATCTTGACATCATTGTTGCAGCTTTTTCAGATTCCTTATTTAAAAATCCAAACTGTATAATAGATTTTCATAATCTAATATTTTAGAATTTAAGACTGTTTTCCCCCCACAGAAATTTAACTCAAAATGTAAAATAAATGTGTACACAAAAAAGGAAAGACAGAAAGAAAGAAAGAAAGGAAGGAAGAAAGAAGAAGAAAGAAAGAAAAAAGAGGAAAGAAAGAAAAAGAAAGAGAGAAAGAAAAGAACTTATATGTGCTAAATTGTGCATTATTTTCATAAAGAAAGTTTTCCCAGAGCAATATGACTTGGGAATCATTTTATCTGGAATGAATTGTATGATTCCTCCAAAACTTTTTTCCAAAACCATTGTTTACGTGTATTTAAAAAAACTCAACTTTCTAGAATCTTGTATTGTAAAGCCTTTTATTGGGATGCAAAAAAAAAGTCTTTTGTTGAATGAATAATTTAATCCCTATGCTTAAAAAACAGTCATTCTTGTCCTTAAAAATAAAAAAAAAAAAGAAAAGAAAAGAAATATTTCCTATTTTATAGCAGATATAGAAACAGTTTATTTAATAGCTTTTGCATGAATTAAATCTCTTGGTTGTTTTTATGTACTACCAAATCGTTAGGGTAGTTGTATAACCATATACTGTTGTAGTTGTTGTGTTTTGGTACCTTATATAATGATCTTTTAAATAAAGAACTGTTTGGAACAGACAACATGCCTTTTGTTCTGTTCAAAAAAAAGAAATCAAAAAAATAACACCACATGGAACAAAGGTGTATGTGCATGTACCCACACATGAATGGTTTATTTAAATTATTCTGAATTCTTTTCCAAAAAGTGACACTCAGCTGGCCATCTCTTTACATCCTTCGCATCCCCAAAGAACAAAGAGAGACAGAAAGTGTTTTAAGTAATTCCCTATTCCACAAAAGAATTTTGAACTAAGAAAACAATTAGAAAGCATTTTCAAATAGGTTTCATTATTGCTCATGATTGCATGTGGTAACACCTTAGTTTTTATGTTCTTTCCATAGTAATAAGATATTTTGAATGCTAGAATGATCTAAATCTAATAACTAATGTTAACACCAGATACCATTTATCTCTAGCATAGAGAAGATTATACTTTAGGGAAAATTTACCTTTGTTTAGAGGGTTTAAATGCAACGTGTTTCTTATTTCTAGTTAGTTAAATACTTATTACTAAACTAAGGGGATTCCTCTGTGAAAAGTCTGATGAATATTTTGGTTAAATACTTGTATCTTATTTAGGACAATGAAGAAGTCCAGGGACTGTCCTAATACAAACTAAGCCTTGGTAATAAAAGTTTGGTTGGAGTGTTACCGTACATGGACTCAGTTAACTTGAAAAGAATAAATTTAGCTTTTCATAATGTTTTTTCTTCTGTGGCTTTGAGCTTTTTTTCTCGGTATTTCCATTCTTTGTCCATTCTATTCTGTTAACAGGGCTCTGGTGTGTTGCTCCACTTATAAGAGACAGGATGTTCTCATAATTGAAGAGATTAGAGAAGGCAAAATAAAGCTGCTGCAGTAAACCCCAGTTCCTTTAGCAAAGTACGGAAGACGTCAGGATCCAAACCTAGAGGACTTAGGAAACTAAATCAAGTTTCCTTTGAATGTTAACCATATTGAAAAAGAACAATAGAATGTCTGTTGAGAACCCACTCACTGTGTCCAGAAACTTAAATGATCTGGAATTGCTGATATTAGGCTTACTGTAAAAACATCTATAAGCCTACATTTCTGAATAACATGTTGTTGTGTCCTTGACAGGGTGGGAGGTGAGAGTGTAGAGGTGTGGGAAATACCTTTGAGAAACATCTGAATCGCTGTGATACTTCTTCAATGCAAGATCAAGGAGCAGCATTGGGAACAGTAGCTTTTCTCAGATTGTCTTTACAGATAGAAACTCCAATAGAAACTCCAGAAATTTATATTCTCTGAAAGAAAGTAATCTGGAACTGGTCTTTGAAACAATTAGAATTTCTTCATGTATTTAGCTTAGTTGTGGCAAATGAGACACTCTACTTCAAGACATGGTGGACTGACCTGGACCTGAAATCCATGTTTCTGTGAATTGGGTGGATATAGACTATAAACAAGATGTCTTCTGAGCATTCAACAAGGCAGAAGGCATAAGAAGTAATGCTATGCTAAAACATTTTTGATGCCTTATTAGCACCTTTCAGTACTGCGTGAAGAAACATAATGTACTATTTGCAACACTTTCCAAGGCATATCTTGATGTGAAAGAAGGAGCTGACATTTACTGTGAAAAGTAAAGTCTTTATTTAGATAGAGAAAGTGTTAAAATATCTGAAGCATGGTGCTTACAAGCCTTATTTCTATTCACTTAAACATATCAGTGCTTTTCTGCTACAAGTGCATCTGCCCCTTTGGCAACAGGTGTGAATAAGAAATGATTGCTCAAATTCACCGTTATAGATATTCATTGAGACTGATAATATAGAAAGCTGAAGCTTATTAAAACAGTACAGCTTTGTAAAACCAGTTGAAAGGATCTGGGGAAATCAGGAAAAGTCAAATAAATGGACAATATTTCTTTTGCTAATATATATACACACAGGAAGAAATTCTCTACTGTGAGGGTGGTGAGACACTGCAACAGGTTGCCCAGAAAAGTTGAGGATACCTCATCCTTGAAAATATTCAAGACCAGGTTGGATGGGGCTTTGAGCAATGTGGTGAACTGAAAGGTATTCCTGCCTATGGCAGGGGACAATTGGAACTAGATGATCTTTATGGTCTCCTTCAACATAAACCATCCTATGAGTCTATGATACATACAAGCTTACATTAGTGTAGGAAGACACTACATACAATGTTCTCTGCCATATCTCTGTTAAGGTGTATCTCATCAAAACAAGAGCTTTGCAGGGATGTTACTTGATTTTGCTGGCCAGAAAAATGAATGTTTATGCTTGTTTCATGTGAAAAAAAAAAAGTAATATAAAAAAATTCAATAGTTTCTTAATTCTTTCTGTGTGTTAGCAGAGCTGACAAAAATTATGACCCGTAGCTGATCTCATCTGGTATGGCTGTGAGCTTCACAGCTGGGAAGTAAGTCTGATCATCACCTTCCAACATTCATGAAATCAACTCTATGTCCTGTACAGTCACACTGGACCTGAACTAAGCACATAATTTGGAGTAGGAGAAGATGAAATGATTTGGTGACAAGAAGCCTCAGTCTTCTAAGGCACCAGTAGATATATAAAAAACCTCAGATATTGCAAAAGTGACAGGAGGGAAGCCTTCTGTAAGCTGGAAATGATTATTGGATAAAATAGCATAAGTGACTCAATGAAAAAGTAAAGTAAATGGTTGCTATTAAAAATAAATGAAGAAAATAGGGACGGAGAGAAAGTTGCTGTGTTGCTCCCCACATAACATAACAAAAACTTCTTCAGAAATATATTGTCATCCTTTAAAGTTGCTTCCTTTCTAACACTGAGTACAAGATTACGTCTGGCCTCTTCCAAGAACAAGAAAGACCAGGCTCTTACCTGTCTTCCTGGGATTGCTGAAAACAAATTTGTGAGAAACAGTATTTCAGTTTTCCTATGGAAGTGGCACCCAGTCAACAGCAGAGAGTGAAAACACACAAACCAGAATCTCATCTTGCTCTTTGAGAAGAGCAATCCATAGAAGAAGATACCATGGGTATCCTAGTGCACTTTTTTTTTTTTTAACTGGTATCTAGAAATTTGGTCCATTCTAAATTATAGGTCGTCAATAGTACTCAAAAAAAATGGCAATTCCGTAATAGCATCCTGATTGGTACATGGATTGTAAAAGTATAGTTGCTAGAGAATTGAAAGTGCATGAAATTTCAAGTTAAGTAACACAAAACACCATAAGAGTAGAAGACATCATCCAGGTCACTGAGTTCAATCCTTCACAGTTTTAGTCTGGCAAGCATTAGAGACTTCTCATGTGGAATTCACCTCATCAGAGTCAGATATCTAGGTCTAAGTTAGTTATGCAGACTTCCTCCATGCCTAATGAAGAGAGAGGAACTTTAGGAGAAAAATCCTGTATCAGGAATTATCTATCTGTAAACAAACAATCTACTTTGGACGAGGCACTTCAGCTTCAAATGTTATAAACATGCCATGTGCCTATACTGAGTTTCTACCTACACAATGATCCTCATCAAATGAAAAATATGAGCCAGGAAAGACATAATCCCCTGAAAAAAAATTGAAAAAGAAGAAAGCAATATTTGAAGTAATAATCACCTCACTGGTCCTGGTGTCATGGAGATATTTATTGAGTGAATGTTTGAGAGAACTATCAAAAATTTATAAAATATTTTGGAAATGAAAAGTGAAGAGATTTCAGATTAAATTATTTCAGATAAAATAATACAATTTTAATAAAATTTAAATCATCATCATAATAATAAAATAATATAAAGGCTTATAATTATTGAATTAAACATTAGATTCTCAGAACTGATAGAATTTGGTTATGAGCATGTTATATAGTTGCAACTAAAGAAAACCTCATAGGCAATGTACATAAGGAAATGTGTTTCCCCGGAGAGATTAAGTGCAAGCTTATTTATATACATTGGTTTGATAATTTTTGTCACTGAAAAATGACAGGAAATTTTGAAAACCTTCTCTAGAAGGAAAGATGTCTTACAGGGGGTGACAGAATGTTGCATATATTTGGATCTTTATTGAACGGGTATTTGTGAATGTGCTGAAGTTTATATACTTTGAGTAATCTGTCTGTACAAAGAAGTTACTCACCCTTCTTTAAGTCGTCTTTATTATCAGTGGCATGAGATTGTTTTCCATTTTAAAGTGATTTTAAAGGTTTTCCTTTATTCCTGGTTGAGTCATGAACCTAAACTTTACATTTGTAATTCTGTTACTAGGAAAAAAAAATGCTATTGAAGTTTTGGGCTGGCAATCACAATTTTCCTTCCAACAGTGTTTATGATTACTGCTGATGTTTTGATCAGATTTTGCACAATACCAGTAGAAAATTCAAGATTTTAATTAATTTCAGAACCAGGGACTGGAGCTACAAAAATTACATCTCTAATACAAAGTTTTGTAATATACTCTTTATCAAATGTGTACTCTCTCTTTAAATCTTTAACAAAAAAAGGAGAGAGTGGTGAGTTGATGGATAGTCTGGAACAAAAAGGAGAAGGTAAGGAGGAAAGAAAGCAAGAGAGACAGACTATAACGGTAGGGCCCTTTCTCTTCTTCTACAGCAACTTAGTAAGCATCACTGTCTTAGACCTTATTGTTGCAGGACACTGCTTTCCCTCTCGCAAAGTAAGGAATTGATTTTTCCGAAGTTGCTAATAGCTCTGCATGGCTGATTTTTACCAGGTCAGTCAAGACTGTCTTTTAGAAAATGGTGCTTTCTGCACGTTGCTATTTAGTCAAACTGTTTCAAACAGACAAGTTACAAACCATGGCAGCACATAAACT